ATATCGCTGTATGATGACAGATATCGTCCTGTCTGCAATCGGTGGATACTGTGGTTTCCGGGAAGGATTTTCAATTTTTTCTCGCGGCGACTAAGTTGAGCGTCGGAAGCAGCTGCCATCCGGCCGCGGAATCCTAAGTGTTTGCAATTGTCGATGGCTGGGAGATCCGTTTGGCAGCGAAGGAGTCGTGCTGAAAGATTGTGAAAACCATCATCAACTTGATGTGATGTTCTGCTATCTGTTGTCGTGTTTGGTCATGGGTTGTTCTCGAATTCTCAGACAAACGGCCGCACACACAGGTATACGCAGGCCCTAACAGACAAAATCACTTCGAACCGAGAGGCGAACTTTGCCCTCGACGACCCGCTAAGCGGAACAGGCGCAAATCGGAAAACCGAATGAAAAACCGAGGAAGTGCCAGTCGTGAACACTATTCTACACGTGCGAGGACACTGCGGTGAATAATTAAGTGATCGAGGGCGAACCAATGATAATATTGAGACCTGGCGATGATTGAGCTAGTCAAGAGTGTTTCAGCGAACCACGCGAGATCCTGGCTCCGATTCATGAATTTATGTCTCTCTCAAAAATTGAGCAAGCGTCGAAATATAGTTGTATACATTTTTCTAACCCCTATATGGTGCCGGTCGCTCTCGCGAATTCTGCGCGGAATGTGGCCCCGCGTAATTTTCTCTTTTCCCAGCTTCCTAGTGACTTTTCTCATCATTCTGATGCGTTTCTGAATCACCAGTTGTCCAGAGAGGCTGCAAATGTGGTCGCCCAGTGAATTCTCCTCAGATACAGCGAACTCTCCATTCAGCGCGTGAACGAAAACTGATTCGATGGAGAGGTCTCTCAAGTTGAGGAGACCCGGTTGGAGCGAGTCTCTCTCGAGGGACATCCCCTCCGAGGACCATCAGAGGCTCTCCTTGCATTTCCGAAGACGAGTGATCGCTGCTCTCTCGGACTCCAGGAGACGCTCGGAGTCCGGGATCCCATGCTTGGAAAAAGGGCATGGGAGACTCGCTAACGCACTCATGGGAGACCCGTGTTGAAACCTGCAAACCGGACAAGCTGTAGGCGTATCAAGTGGCGAAAAAACGCCGTGAAGTGTTGTGACTTCATTGGATATGCGACATGATGATGCCAGCTCCCTCAAAAGCCGTTGAATGACCAACGTGCCGCTACAATGTAGCCTGCACCCTGCAGGGGAACAGTTAGGAACGTGACTGCGTAAGTTGCGTGACTGACTGAGTGACTAGCCGACCGACCGAGTAGGTGGTGGGTTAGACAGACAGCCAGTCAGACGGTCGGTCAGACTTTTGAGACGCTTTCTCGGTTACGTCTATCCGAAACCGCTTGGTTGATGACGCGGGTTCGGTCAGTCAAGGGATGCTCTGTCGGCTCGCGCCCAGAGCTGAAACATATGCTGGCTGTAGGGTAGAAAGATCTCCCGTTATAGTAAGCATGAGCCTTCGGATCGCAAAAAGCTTCTTGATGGAATCAGAGAATCGGCCTTTTATCTGGAATTACTCTTTCTCCTTCGTCGATTGCTCCATTGTGATTCGGAAAATCCCTCCGCCGGATGGAGCGCGTTCCGACACCGTACACTGCAGCTCCTGGGGAGAAGGCTTCCCTTATTTTTTTCCGTTGACGGCGAAACGTTGGAAACATTGGAGGATCGGATTATAACGATCTCGCTTCGTATGCGAGGCCTGTTCGCTCGGTCGGCCACGAGAAAGAATTCCCGCCGGACCCGTGAATTCTTGTCAAAAAGCCGGATTGGTTCACCGGGAACCCTCTTCCATGTAGCCGAGTCCGGCAGTGACCGGGCCGGGTCCGGAACTTTTTGCTTTCACGATTATGTGGCACCGCACAATCACTGTGTTCCCGGTTCCCGGGCCTCCATCGCACGAGAGCGTGGAGAACGAGGTCTTCTTGAGGGAAACTAGAATAGGTGGAAAACGTCATGCCTTGCTTTGAAGTTGTGTTCGTGTTTCTCATGAGTCATGACGAGACAAGAAAGCAGGAGCCGAGCACAACAACAAAAAATGTTAGCGCGAACGTCAACAACAGCCATATAGCATACGGAATTTCATCGAGTCAACTTGATCAGTCACTTTGTCATTGAGGAACCGTCGAGCTGTCAGTCGAGTCGTCGTTTTTGCCTTTCCAAGCGTCCGCGCGCCGATCCGGCTGCCTGTGGGTCATCGCGTGTCTCGAACGATTTCACTATGGAATCAGAGAATCGTAATTATGGACGGACGAGTGAAACGCGCTCAACAATGGGTTCCAGACATAGGTACATGAACATGCGGTCGCACTGACCGTGTCTGACCTGTCGTCGCTCACCTAATCTGCGCCTACGGGAAGCTTGAATCGCCTTTGATCGGCGAACAAGATGAATTATGAGCATGGACCCATCCAATGGCAGGCTTTCAGAATCGGAGGAGTCGCTCGACGGGGAAATTCGCGAAATGCTCTTCCAAGAACAAAGTAGTTACCTAATTGAAGAGACAAAATTGAAGGTAGCGAGTCGAGACTTATTAATTCCATCGAATTTCTGCGAACCCCCCGACCACGAAGTGTGCCGGTCTGACGCGCTCCGTCATGAACTCTGTATTGTGAACTCTATACGTCTGCTCAGGAGCGGTCTCCGGGCGTCTGAGAGAGTATCGCATCCGTACTTGACCATAAATGTACAATTCGAGATGACACCAACATCGACAAAAGCAACGTCGACGGCTCTGAAAGCAAAGCGAAGAGTTCCACAGTCAATGACCCCCTCCATTGTTGTGATGGACAGGCGTGTGTTCCACCGAACGGATAATTCTCATTGCTTCTCTTCGTTGTCGCCTTCATCCGTACGCCGAGGATAATCCTCGATAATATTCGGACAACAATTGTCAACTCGAGTAGTATCTATGAATAGGACCGGCACTCGATCATATCATCATCCGTCATCGATGTCATCGGAGGAATCGGACGCCTCCGATCTCGGAGCGTAGAGAGACTGCTCGATGCCGCGTTCCATGCTTGGAGTGAGAGCAGATTCTTCGTTGACATGGATGAATCGTCTCTCCGATTAGGTGGCTGTTCGTAGGTCCCGTCGTGGTGACGTTTCGCCGATAATACGGAACTTTCTCCTCATTCCTGAGCCCCAATGAGAATAGATCAGCATCGAATTGAAAAAGCTCGAGGAATCTCATGGGACAAAAATAATTAGGTAGAGAAGGGAGGACTGGACGGGGAACGAAACTTGTCCCGAATCAGAGAAGCGCGACAACATCATCACGGAAAAAACTTGTTCCGAGCAGGCATCCGAGCCGGCGGTTCGGGCAGCGGGGACAGACTGAAAGCGGCAAGCGAGCAGGAAGGTAGACGGGAATCGAAGGAGGCAATAGGCAAGTAGCGAGCAAGCGAGTCATTCAGTCAGTCAGTCGGTTAGACCGACAGAAAGAAGTGCAGAAATGCTGCTGCTGCAGCAGCTGTCGTCGTCATCGTCGTCGAGGATCTCGCCGACGGTTGGCGGGCTTGCTAGCGGACTGACCCATTTCGGAATAATTCTTCTCCTCTTCTGCGACGACCGATGCCGCAGTCGCCGATTACTTCCTGCGTCACAGACAGACGGACAGATGGACGGCCCATACGAGAGACCGATAGACCGCCAGGTACTGTCAATGAGTCGGCTACGCAGGGGCAATCGGGACATTTTGTTTCGGATCGCTCCGCTCTCTGATACATATATGTACATATATCCCTGGAAGGGAAGTTCTGGGATTTGAAACCTCTTGTCCACCTGGTAACAAACTTCCTCACCATGATCGATCTGATGATTTTTGGGACCCGTCATAGACATAGATCGGCACGACCCGCCGGAACTTTATTCAGAGGCGTGGACTTCGATGGGGAAGAATCCATTGAATCGCACGAAAGTTCTTTTCTACCACCGAGCCAGGTGGATGAGATTACATGCCAATATGTTCCCGGGCACTCGGGTCACCCCTGAGTCCCACCGGCTGCACTCGCATCCATCTTGCAGTTCATTGCGCTCTTGTTTCTGTTGTCGGAGTGCTCGATGGATTCGAGAATGGGCTCCATGATCTCCCCGGAGATCCCGAGTGAAGACGAGGGTTAGAACACATCCCGTTTATTCGATCTATCGGGTTATTCAGTATGCCGTCGGAACGTTTCGGTCGCTCATTCCCAGGGCATGACAACGAATTCTCCGGCCACGGAATATTCGCCGAGAAGATGGGTGGGGGGTTAGCGCGTCTGGCACCTCGAATTTACCGTGTCGTTATGGTACGCAGTCTCCGTAATGGAGCTCGAGCGGTAGATGGCCTGGCTAGAATCCTGCTGGCGACAGGAAATGCACTCGCCGGCCTTGATCCCGCCTGGCTCTGCGTTGTGGGATCTGTTGTCGGAGCATCGCTCCCTTCATGATATCCGAGAGTCTGGGACTAGGATTCCCGGACTGATGGTCACCGAAATCTTCTGGTCCCGGTGCCCTCCGAGAAGGAGGCGATACTCGGCGATAAATCGGAATGGAAGACGAAGGGTTCATCAAGTCGACCGTTCTTCGTCGATTTTGTCTTCGTCGTTCAACGCTCGCATTTCTTCCCTGTTCTGTTCCGCTACCGACCGGACCAATCTTCCGAAGCTCGAACTATAGCAATAATCGTCATCATGATCAAGACGAACGCTGGCTCCCCTTTTCCCTCGGCTCCATCCGCTATAACTGTCATCCGGGCTCGGACCCGTGGCCACAGTGAGCGAAAACCGAAACCGTCGACATTCGAACGAGCCGTCCGAAAAAACGCTTACCCTAGACTAATGATGATCTGGTCTCCTCGGGTCTTCGAACGATTATCAAGTTTCGATTCAATGGAGATGACAGCTCTCACACAGGAGATTCTACACAGAATGGGAGCCGAAGATTCGATCGAAGATTTGTTATTGTTGATTTTCTAACGCGTATCTATTCTCTCCTCTTACAGAAGAACCTCGAACGGAAACGGATCGAACTTGTGCGCCGAATCACTTCCGGTGCGCAAACGGAAAATGCATACATCAGCTCTGGGTCTGCGACCAGCAGGCCGATTGCGAAGACGGCAGCGACGAGCACCAAGGATGTCCGCCACCCAAGTGCGGTCCCAAGGAGTTCTCGTGTCGTAAGTGTCACTCGCCTCACGTTCGCTGCTGCCATGATCGTCGTGATCGTTTTGGTTCTAGTTTCCCCCACTTCTCGGAATCCTAGTCCGTTAGTCTAAAAATCAGACAGCCGTCCGATCGGAAGCGCAAACTTCAGCCCGGAAGCGCGAAAGTTTGGTTGAACTTTGTGTAATCCTTCCGCCGGTGTTGGATTCCACAAAAAAACTGACGCACGCACACATACCACACACACGCACAACAATCGCTAGTAGTCGTTGGAACGTCGTGGTAGAGCGAGTGCTTTGATTTTCCAAGGCAGCAGCCCATCGTCTTGTGAACGACGACAAAGATCGGCTCGAGAACTTCGTTGATCAACTAACATGTTTTCCCCTTTCCCCAAGAGAACTCGGGGGTCCCGTTTCCTTTTAGAGAGACAAGGAAAATGGATCCCCGTCTCCCATAATGTTCTTAACACTTCGAGTTGATCCCCTCGGTATCTTATTTGATATCAAGGAATCGACCTCAGGTTCCTCTCTGCCCTCCGACTTGGCTCTCCTACCGTCCTCGAGGATATTAGGATTCCTCGATAAGGATTCCATGCGATCCCGTGATGCTTTCTTTTTCGAAGTCTAGCTGTTCCCTATTTCATCTTCTCTTTAAAATAAGGGAACGTCATCAATCACCAATGGAAAAAAAACTCGGCTCCCATCAAGATTCGGTGAATGCGAATTGAAAAAGCAAGAAGCTAGGTAACTTCAATGACAATACCGTAGATTCACGTGAAAACGTCTAACGACGATTTTTCCGGCAAGCGGTTGGCTTGCCGAGGTGTCAAATGATGGCATATAGACCTATCTCTCTATCGGCCCATTGTTTTAAGGAATTGGGGTTACTTTTCATGAAAGCTTTGTTAGAGCCCACTGATTGCCCGACGAGGCTGCGATATTCAATCATTCTTCGAGAAATGGTTCCCGTGGTTCGAAGGCATCTGGCCGCAGTGAGAATCCTACTCCGGCAGCCCCCCATTCTCCTGGATTCCGTCGGCATAATCATCAAAAAATGCGGCAGCGTTCGAGTTTCGGAAGTTTTTCTGCTTCACGAATCTGGAATGGAAAGCCGCACCTATCCACCCATTTTAGTCCTTGGGCTGCCGGAGTAGGATTCTCACTGCGGCTTCCTCAACGAATCCGCCAAGATACGACGATTGGTGAAAGTTGTTGGTCTTATGTTCGGCATTATAGCGCGTGATCGTCATCATGCAGGGAATGCGGGTAACTATGAGCCTTAATTTTGACGTGAAGGGGACGTCGATATGATAAGTTGCATAAGTTATGATAACTGTTCCTGAGTTCAACTTCTTAAAATTACGTTGGTGTCCTCATCGGGGGGCACATCAGCCGAGTGTTGATGCGAGAGATTCGATGGCTAACGCAGCACTTGTGACAACGGCGACCTTCGGAGCCGGAGCCGAACTCGACTCATGATGAGTCGTCCCATGAAGAGATCCTCCCGATGACAGCCTAAATCTGTTGACACGCACACTCGCTGAGCTTGAAGGTGCTTCGTCATGCCGCTTCTGTCGCCAGGAGCTCCCTTTGAAGGGTCGCATCTATCGTCGATGAGCCCGATTCGCCTGAAGTCAGAAGAACCACTTGTTTTTCCGGGAAACCTCCGCTGTTCACCCCAGCGAATCATAATCATGATCAAAGCCCGACTCGATCTCGATTTTTGTAGTTTTCATCGAATAATCAGAAGCCCTTATGTTCTCGCTCTTATATGTCTGCTGCCTTCTGTCGGGCTGTGACTCGTCGACCTCGCCTTATAAAATTCCCTTCGAAAGACTGACGGACGATGCCATAATTATTTTGCGCTTATTTTTACGCTTTCGTGCCGAACCTAGGGGTATGTGGAAAATCAACTGTAGAAATCGAAGGATAGATCTGCCTCGCGAACGATTGCACCTGGAGACTTTGCCGTAAATTTACAACCCAGTGATGCAACTCGGATGATCCGGAGCTCCGCAGTTTCTGAATTATAAGGCTCCAAACGCGGACAATATTTCGATGCTTCAAGGACGAAGTGCATCGAATTGGTCAGCAAAGCCTGCGACAGAGACGTTTTCACGTCAAAATCTCTAATGAAGAACGATTGAGGACTGCTGGCATGGAAAATCACTGAGAAATTAAAAAAACTTCGAATCGGTCAATGACTGCCGAACCCCTTACTGTTAAGTCTGTATCTTTCTCTCCTCAATCCGCGGGAGTTAGGTTATTACCCTCATTTCCGGGGTAGACCCTTACGATTCTCTTCCGAACTTTCAGAATTGTACAAGTTCAACAGCTCGTACTGCATACCAGCTCATCTCCGATGCGATCGGATACGAGATTGCGCCGACGGCTCGGACGAACAGAATTGTGACTATCGGAGTCATCAAGAAGGAGATCACAAATGCGGCTCAGGCCTCAGTATTCCGCCAGAGAAAAAGTGTGACGGATACATCGACTGCCGAGACGAGTCCGACGAGGACGGCTGTACAAATTCCACAAGATGTCTGTGAGTAGATCGTAGAATGAATCTCTTCCGGTAGAACTTTTGGTTAGTGGGAAAGTTCCGATGCGGGGAGAACGTCTCGCACAGAGTAGATACTCGAGGCAAGGAACTGGGCAGTTCCCCACTTGAGGAGGTCGCTTGGAATTTCAAAAGAACGCCAATTTGAGCTTATCCGGAAATTTCTGGACGACCTTTGTCTAGAGGATGCGAGTTGCCTTCCGCTGTTTCAATTTTATTGAGCCGTGATGTGAGATTACGCGAGAAGACGCTGAAAGCTGTCTTTGTTCTCCGTGGCGACGACAGCGACAGGAATGGTCGCGGATTATAATAATCTCACGGTAGTCGATTCCAGTCACGGAACGAGCGAGCAACTGGGAACGTAGCCGTCGGACGCCAGTGTTTGTTTATAGCTTGGGCGGACTTAACCTGCTATAATGTTATTATTATGCAGCCGACCACAGCCATTTGCGATCTTCGCTTTTGCCGTCCCCTCCCAAGATCGCGGAAATCCCTGAACGGCGCTCCAAGCTGTCAGCATGCTTGGCCCCTCAATTAAATCAAAATGCTCGCTCGACTGTTTCGCCGATAACTCGAATTTGTGTGATACTGACGGAAGCCGTCCTGGAGATCTGGGGAAATCCGTAGCTGATGGGAAGGCCAGGCGAAGAGAACCTGCTCGCGGAAATTCGAGCTAATAGCGGGAGCTTGGATAAATCCGGGGAGAATCTCCGACCACGACGGTCGATTATCACAGCCCCTCTCCCGAATGGAGTCGACCCGACTCCTCTTTCCAAAAGAGAGCTGTTCCGAAGGTATTCTGGGTGCCACCGAATCATCCGAGATGAGGACATGAGGATGGGAAGATTCCAGATATCATCTTGGCTAATCTAACGAATTTCTGGAGGAATTCGAGACGTTGATTCCTGAGTGCCTCCTCATCAACTTCTCTGACCGACAAAATGCGGCGCAATGAAGGTGAACAAGTCTATGTCCATCGATCGAGACTGCCTACGTTGTTCATCCAGGCATCCGAAGAGGATCGTCTCCTAAGTCCAGATGATTCTTCATCCTTGGGCTTTTACTCGGGTTCTGGCTCTGAGGGGTCTGGCGCGGGTCATATCGTTGACGTTGGAGGGTAATTCACTAGGCATATGCTCCGGGATGTCGAAACTTGATCTGAGGACAAGCTCTGAACTCTGAACTCATGATCTTTCTCGTTCAAACAAAGTTACATCGAAGCAAGCGAATGGAATCCGTGAGCTCAAGCATCGAATAACGGCGGACAGCCGACAATCCACCAATGACAGTGTTGCGGCTCATTCAGTACCGTTTTCCTCGGTGATCATCTTGTTCTTAAGTCGGACTATTGTGGACAGCTCGTTTGATTGTCAGTGCGGACAAGCTCCGCCGTCAGAGTATCTGATGGACAATCGACCCAGAAGGAGCGCGAGACGCCGAACATTTCCACTCTATTTGTACTGCCTTGAACAAAAGAAGGGAACTGTTCTCTTCTTCGTCAGCAAAGGAGACTTGAGCATCCACCAATACCGCAGAGCCGCCATTCCCCGAGATTCGGATCATTCCCATGTTCTTTAGTCGAGAGAGAATAATTTTGTCCTCTCAAGGCCGAGAATTCTTCGCTCTTGGATACGACAAGTGGAGTCTATCCGCGTTCCTTCCTCAGACTACTCGATAAGGTTCAGATCTGCGGGAACGCGGGAGATGCGTCAGGACTTCTGACTCAGGAGTGACGCACGTCCCGCGCGAGAATTTGAGTCATCTCCATACGGGTTCTCCTTTTCCGTTTTCCAGACGGACGATGTTCCAGTGCGATGACAAAAGCAAGTGCATCGCCACAAGCCTAGTCTGCGATCATCACACAGACTGCCCAGACGCGTCGGACGAGAAAAATTGCACGTATCCGGCGTGCACACCAGGTGAGCGAAGTTTTCGAAATTATCTCGAGTGGTTTCTCTTACGGCTGGGGTGATCGTTTGAATGCACCCAGATTCCTGAATTAAATTGCGTGGTCATCTCGGGTCCCTCGATCAGAGAAATGTGGATCGTTATGAATTCGTCTTCCATCCTAACAGGTCAATTCCGGTGCGCGAATCAGCAATGCATGCCGGAACGGTGGCGATGCGATGGCCATTTCGACTGTAAGGATAAGAGCGATGAGCTCAATTGCAGTAAGTATGAAGCTGACAATGGAAAACTGTTGCTCGCTTTCCTTGGGATGATTTCTATTGAAGTATTCGTGGCGTGTAGCGAATCCAGAGGGGAAGTCGAGGCGAGAGAAAGGAGGTCGGAAGTCGACGAGAGCCGAGCGGGGAAATGATTCCTGGAACCAGGGATGAGAATGGCGGACCATCGTGGAAGCGGGCGGAAAACAGCGAAAGTCGTAAACACGTTCGCCATAGGCAACGATTTCTGAGACGTTCGTGGGCGACTGCTTTCGGCGTCTGACTCTCCAGGAAAAGTCTCCTAGTCTGACGCCCGAGTGACGACCGTCATTTCGGTTGGTCAATCGCTCGAACATCTCATCGGGTTGACCAATATTCCCTGAACCCGCGTATCTACGGAAGAGTTTATCTGGAAACAGATTTTCTGTGCTTCTCTCGGCTGTAGGTGGCGGTGACGGCGACGTCGTCGTTCTCGTTGCCAGCGTTTGTAGCGGCTCGTCGGCCGGTTCACTCACTCGCTCCCTCATTCGCCGGCTATTCGTATGTCACTGAGTCGCGAACAAACTGAAGTACGTGTTTGTATTGAGAACCGGTTTCTGCAGGCGCGGTGGCGGATGTCAAGAAATATTTTCTTCTTGTCGCAAAGCGTACCCTGAATCGCTGAGCGGTAGCTTTATCCGGATTATACAACGTCGGTCTCCTCTCCGAAGATCGATTCGAAGCGTCGTCCACCAAATATTTCCGAGACTGTGGTCAACGGAACCTTGAAAAAAAAAGAAACCTACGATATGCAATAAGAATGGATCTCGACTCGAAATTTCTCAATCGGAGTTTCTAACCTACGAGCAGAGAATTACGACGGCAGGGATGCTTTACGAGCCAGCGATTGCCGCGGGGGGAATTCCCTCCGACGCGGAAAAAGACAACTCACTCCGCTCGAAGCCGGAACTGATACTCCGAGACCCATCAGGTTCCGTAGACCGCCGAGGACTCGAAATTGGTGGCAGACCACCAGACTGCCGACGCTGAACTCGTCGTGGTATTGGAGACGCGGGTCTCGGCCAGGTATTTGAAGAGCTTCCGCCCGGTGCTTCCTTGAATCCGTCCAGCAGGAGACGAGGACACGAGCGGTGGATTCGAACGCCTTAATATCCACGCCGAGCCGCCACGATCGTTCACGAGCTCACATTCATATTGTGTCGAAACGCAATATGATGCACGTCAGCTGTGAATTCTACGGCTCGAGTCCGAATGCCGTTCTCTTTTGGTTCTCCTTTCTCTTCCCCTTGCACGAATCCGATCGAGTCACGAGGATGCCTCTGGATTGAGCGCATTGCACTCCATGCTTTGAGTCATTCCATTTCTGGGAGATCCGAGATTATCAAGGACTTCAAATTCATGATTTGTTCATCTTGACATCCGGAAGGAGGACGTCGGAATCCTCCTCGAGGATCTCGCATTGCAATCAGAGTTGCACGAATTACCTTGCACGTTATGAAAAAGGATCTTGCCCGCGCATTCCGAAGCATTTGCCGAGCACCGCCGGCGGCATTACAAGTCTTTTGCACTAAGTTTTTTGGTTAAGTCTTTTGCACTATTTCCTCACTTGCAGCTCAGCGATTCTGTTCCGACAATAAGTTCCTCTGCCCGACGGAGAAGGTTTGCATTGATCGCACAAAAATCTGTGATGGGAAAGAAGACTGCTCGGACGGAGCAGACGAAAAGCTCAACTGCAGTAAGTGTTGCTCGAGTCGAATCACTGGTCAATATAATTGAGGTAGTATTTTCGGCCTCGCTGTATCTCATCCCCGATCTTGCATTGAAATCATCCGTCACGGAGAGGGCCAGAAATGGCTTTGACCACACGAAAGATTACTATCGGACCCTTGGAAAATCAGATTAGTTGACGACAACGGGGGTATCGATGCATGCTCGACGCATTTTCCAAGTCTTTCGTAGTTTATGATTTTCCGTTTTTTTTCCCCATCAGTTGCCGTGAGTATTCACTAGCACTCTGCGAAAGTTCAAACACACCCACTTACACGAGCCCAGAACCCCGACTCAATTCGCATTTCCTTTCCGAGTTTTTTTTTCCTAATTTTGCGTTTCCCCACGATTTAGCGTCGACGTTGTGTCCAAGTTTGTCGTGCCAGCAGGGATGCCGTCCTTCTCTACAAGGCGGTGAATGCACTTGCAATCTCGGAATGAGAATAAATCCCGAAGACAAGCGATCGTGCATCGGTGAGTTCGGCGAGAGGCTCCGCAAACGCGAAGAGCATCCCATCCGAGGGATCCAGCACCTCGGAACTTATTCGCAAATTATCTGAACCTGATTGAATTCAATGTTTTTCGTAGATCTCAACGAGTGCGAGGAATGGGGTTACTGCGACCAACTGTGCCAAAACAGTCCGGGCAGCTACAAGTGCAGCTGCACAGCCGGCTATGAGCTTCACGACAAGGTCGGCTGCAAGGCCATAGACTCATCGGAGATGCGTTTGGTGTTCGCGCGTCACGCCGTAATCTACGAACTCGACCCGCTCGACAAGTCACTGAAAGAATTGAGCACGATCGCCGGCCAGGTCGGCGGTCTGGATTTCCATTACGGCAGGAGGGAGCTATACTGGACAATGCTGGAAAACCGTACAATCCACTCAATTCGACTCGGGAAGGACGGCGTTAACGAACGGCGATCGCCTGTGATCGTCCCTTTTGCCTGGAATCCCGTCGCGATCGCCATCGACTGGATCGCCAACAAACTCTACGTCGCCGACAGCCTTGGCCAGAAGATCGACGTCATGCAATTCGACAATTATCGACACTCGATCATCCTGTCGCGAAATCTCACCAATCTTCAAGATATTGCGTTAGACTCCGCCCTGGGGTAAGGTTCAGAACTTTTCGTCCCTCGATCCCCGATCAGGGGGCTATGGAAAGTGAAAGCGATTCGGGGAACTTTGACCGAGCTTCTCAGTCTCTGTCTCTGGAATTTTCTTTTCAATTCAACGATTCCCTTTCAGATACATGTTCTTCAGCGACGGAGATCACATCGAGCGCGCGAACATGGACGGTTCCGATCGAAAGGTCATCGTCAGCTCCCTATACCGAGCTAACGGAATCACCCTCGACACAGTCCAGAACCTCGTCGTGTGGTGCGACTCACAGCTGGACGAGATCGTAGCCGTAAATTACGCCGGCGAACTCAAGCACATCATCATCAAAGGCTCGACGAAAGTGCCTTCGGCGAATAAATTGACTCTGTTCGAGAATAAAATCTTCTGGAGCGATGCGACGAAACAAGGGGTGCTCGCGACGAAGCTCTACCGGAACAACGAGACCGTCGAGACCATTTATCAGGATCGAGCCATAATCAAAGAACCCGGAGCGATCAAGGCGTTCCACCACCTCCGGCAACCGCCGATCGACAACCCGTGCAAGCTGAACAAGGGCAACTGTGACCACATGTGCATCCTTTCCAGAGGAACCGGTTCCGGCGTCTACAGACTGGGTTACAAGTGCGTCTGCGATACTGGATACGAACTCGCCGAAGACCGCAAATCCTGCAGGAAGGTCGAGACGTTCCTACTCTACTCCCAACAGAAGTCCGTCCGAGGAACTCTGATGGATCTTCGGAGTGACGCTTTCTCCGACGCCATGATTCCGATTGCGAGCAAATCGGCCCGATTCGTCGGGATCGATTTCGACGCTCACGAAGGATTCATCTACACGTCGGACGTGATCCTCGATGTGATCGCCCGAGTCAAACCGGACGGAAGCGGAAAAGAGAACGTTTTGGCGGCCCAGCACGAGGGAGTCGAGGGAATCGCGTTGGACTGGGTGACGAAGAATCTCTATTTCGTCGATTCTCGGAAAGGAACCATGGTCGTGATCAACACTCGCGACACCCAACAACGAAAAATCCTCATGTCGAACTTGCGACGTCCCCGTGCCATCGTTGTCCACCCGAACAAGGGTTACATTTTCTATTCGGTTTGGGACCGGCCAGCGAACATCTCCAGAGCCCATTTGGACGGCACGAACCAACAGGTCGTTCGTGGGGTCTCCCTCGGCTGGCCGAACGGTCTCGCCATCGACTACGAGCTGGATCGGGTCTATTGGTGCGACGCGTTGCTCGACCACATTCAGCACTCGAACCTGGACGGGTCCGACGTACAAACGGTGAACGTGACCGGCGTCCAGCTAAAACATACCTTCTCGCTCACAATCCACAAGGAATTCATCTACGTGACCGACTGGCGCATCGACGCCATTGCGAAAATTCACAAGGGCAGCGGGCAATCGGTGAAAGTTCTGCCCCTGCTCGAGGAGGGCTCCCGGCTCTTCTGCATCAAAGTGTTCTCCAAGGACAATCAGCTGATCGACGCGAATCATCCGTGCTTGAATAACAACGGCGGCTGCGCCAAGTTCTGCTTCGGAGTCCCCACCGCCGATGGGGGCATGACCGCGAAATGCGGATGTCCGACGAACTACGTGTTGAGCGCCGATCAGAAGAACTGCACGGCGGACCCGAAAGCCGATCCGGCACCGAAAGCCTGCCCCAACTCTTGGGATTTCACCTGCGGCAACCAGCGCTGTATCCCGAAGAATTGGGTTTGTGACGGCGACGACGATTGTCTCGATGGGTCCGATGAACACCAGAACTGCAAGGGCAACACCTGCAGCGTCAGGGAGTTCAAGTGCGCGTCGGGCCGATGCGTCGCGTTGTCGTTCAAGTGCGACGGAGACAACGATTGCGGCGATGGGTCCGATGAGAGCGGTTGTACGAACGCGACCTGCAACGCGAACGAGTTCGCCTGCGAAAACGGACGTTGCGTCCCGCTGAGCTGGAAGTGCGACTCGGAGAACGACTGCGGCGACGGGTCGGACGAAGGGGATTTCTGCACCGACAAGACGTGTTCATCGACCCAGTTCGCGTGCTCGTCGGGCGCGTGCATTCCAAAGAACTGGGTCTGCGACGGCGACACCGATTGCAACGACAAGGACGACGAGAAGAACTGCCCTCCGGCCGTCTGCACGGTGAGCCAGTTCTCGTGCGAGAACAAACGCCAATGCATCCACGACAGCTATCGCTGCGACGGAATTCCGGACTGTGCGGACGGTTCCGACGAGAAGAACTGCCCTTCGCGAGCTCCGAACGAGTGCGACAGCAACTCGTTCCAGTGCAAATCTCCGCGCATCTGCATCCCGAAGAGTTGGCGCTGCGACGGACACAAGGACTGCGACGACGGCAGCGACGAGCCGGACACCTGTCCTCGAGGCGTTTGCCCAGCGAACCACTTCAAGTGCGACAACGGCAAGTGCATTTACAAGTCGTGGGTCTGCGACGGTAACGACGACTGCGGGGACCAGAGCGACGAGCACGAGCGTCACGCCTGCAAGCAGAAAGCCCTCATCTGTCCTTACGACCAGTGGGCGTGCCCGAACGTGACGGACCGCTGCATCAACAACACGCTCGTGTGCAACGGCAAGTTCGACTGTCCCGACGGTCTGGACGAAGGTCCGGTCTGCGACAGCGGCAAGTGCGACCCGGAAGCCGTGGGCTGCACCCACAAATGCATTCAGACGCCGATGGGACCGGTGTGCACGTGTCGAGCCGGCGAGAGGCTCAACAGCACGACGACCTGCGTCGATCTGGACGAATGCACGGAGCTCGTCGGGGCGTGCTCGCAGCACTGCTTCAACACGAAAGGCTCGTACACGTGCAAATGTGACCCGGGCTACCTCGAGGACCCGGCGAACCACCACAAGTGCAAGGCAGCCGATAGAAGCCAAGCGTACCTAGTCATCTCGAACAGACGCTCGATCCTGGTCGGTGACCTCGACACTTCGTCGCTGGAGAGGCTTCCTGTCAAGGTGGACAACGTCGTCGCCACGGCGTCCTACATGAAGAACAACACAATCTACTGGTTCGACATGAACGCCAAGAAAATCTTCAAGCTGATGAAGGGCAAAGAGCTCACGACAGTCATCTCGAGCGGTCTCGACCTCATCGAAGGTCTGGCCGTCGACTGGATCGCCAGCAACCTCTACTGGGTCGATTCGAAGCTCAAAACGATCGAGGTCTCGAACCTCGAAGGCAAAAACCACATCATCCTCCTGAACAGCAACATCAGTCAACCTCGCGGCCTGTCGATCGATCCTCGCAAAGACGCGCGGGTGATGTTCTTCTCGGACTGGGGCGAGAATCCCCGGATCGAGAGCGTCGGTCTCGACGGATCCATGCGGAGGACCATCATCGACACGAGAATATTCTGGCCCAACGGGCTGACGCTCGATCTGCCCACGAAACGAGTGTATTTCGCCGATTCGAAACTCGACTACATCGATTTCTGTAACTACGACGGAACGGGTCGTCAGCAAGTTCTCGCCCACAACCACTATCTGCTGCATCCTCACAGTTTGACCGTGTTCGAAGACACGCTCTATTGGACGGACCGTCAGCTGAACCGCGTTCTGTCGTGCGACAAGTTCCGCGGCAAGAACCAGACGGTGGTCAGTCATCTCGTCAGCCAACCACTCGGAATCCACGTCAATCATCCGGCGCTGCAACCGACGACGGACGCGAATCCCTGCGCGGAAGCCCCTTGCACGCATCTGTGCCTCCTGTCCCCGTCGAGGAAAGAGGGCTATGCGTGCAAATGTCCGCCCGGCTACACGTTGGACCGCAGCTCGGCGAACGGGGCGTGCGTTCCTCTCGACAAACCGTTCCTCATGGTGCTCCGAGGCAGTCAGCTGGTCGACATGAACCTCGAGCCGAAGGCGGGCAAGAGCAGCGCCGGTCAGATATCCTCGATCATCGGACTCGAGAAAGCGAGAGAGTTCGATTACGATCAGAAGGACGGCTTCATCTACCTGGTGAAGACGGTCGACGACGACAAGGACAACGGCACGCTGTTCAGGATCAGCCTCAAGGACGCCAACGTCACAAAGTTCCTCTCGAGCGCTTTCGTCGGCGCTCCGTACACCGTGGCCGTCGACTGGATCGGTCGGAACCTCTACGTCGGCAACCGGAAGGCGTCCAATATCGAAGTGGTGAAGCTCGGCGAACGCAAAAATTTCCGGACGGTTATCTTGTCCAACGATGGACGGGACACCGGGGTCGGCAAGCCCCAGGCTATCGCTCTGGATCCAATCTACGGGAAACTTTTCTGGCTGGACAGCGGGGGCGTCAACGTTCCCACGAAACTGGCCTCGGCCTCGATGTCCGGAGAAGATCCCAAGGTTCTTCTGCTTAACGGACTCGGGAACATCGAGTCGTTGTCGATCGATCCGACGGCGCAACGGATTTATTTCTCGCGGAGCCACAGCGGGGCGATCGAGAGCGTGGACTACGCGGGGAACGGTCGACGCACTATCTACAGCGACGATGTGCGCATCCAGAGACCTCTGTCTATCGCTGTTTACAACCACAAGGTGTATTTCCTCGATTCTGCTCACGAGAAGGTTTCCTACATCGACCTGCAGAACGGAAACACCGAAACCGTCATCGAGGACAACCTCAGCGACTTGCAGTTCTTGAAGGTCTACGGCAAACGTCCTGAGGCGCCACAGCATCCGTGCCTCACGAACAACGGAGGCTGCGCTCAGATTTGCGTGCCGACCAGCGGGAACAGCAGGAAATGCCTCTGCAGCATCGGCTTCACGGTGAGCGCCGAGGTCTTCTGCAGTCCGTACAACGAGTTCCTGGTGTACTCCGAGTTGGAGAAGGCGAGCGCGGTTTCATTGGAGAACTCGGGCAGCGAAGCCATGCCACCGATCGCCGGGCCAGGACACAATATCCTGCACCTGGACATGACCTACTCCGACAAGAGGATCTACTGGATCGAGTTCAACCAAGGCCCCCGCAACGGAATCTTTTCGATATTGACCGACGGCTCGGACACCAAGCACGTGATCAAGGACGGCATCGGCAGCAACGGAATCCGAGGCCTTGCCGTCGACTGGATAAACCGTAAGTGGAGCTATAACCCCGAGAATCCCCATCTCGAACGGAATGAGAGTAGAGTGATCCCGTCGAATTATTTTTCGTGGATCGATCGAACCCTGTGCGGAATCCGTGATCCGACGAAGCCCTCTCCCTCGGTTCTAGCTCATAATTTTTTTTTTTTTCTAGATCTCCTGTACTTCTCGAACGTGTTCCCGCACGAGAACTTCATCGAAGTCAGCGATCTCAACGGAGGCAGCAGGATGGTCCTCTTGAAAACGACAACAGAAGCGCCTCGGGAACTCGCCGTGGATCCGGTGAAACGTTATCTGTACTGGATCGACTCGGGACAATATCCGAAAATCGAACGCGCTCTCATGGATTGTACGAACCGAACGTCGATCGTTGTCGAGGACATCATTTCCCCGAGCGACATAGCCGTGGACATCGCCAGTGGGGACATCTATTGGGTGGACAAGAGAGTCGACCGCCTGGAGTCGTGTCGCTTCGACGGTTCGAACCGTCGAACGCTCGCCAGCCGTCTCCCGAAACCAATGGGGGTCGCCATCTACGGCGATTGGGTATTCTGGGCCGACAGGAACCTCAGGTCTATTTTCAAGATCAGGAAATCTGAAACAAACGGCACCGTGTACACGGTGAAATCCGACCTGAACATGCTGCGAGACGTGATGGTCTACTACAACACGGGCCAGATCCAGGCCGACAGTCCCTGCAACAGCGCCGGATGCGATCAGCTGTGTTTCCCTCTACCGATGAACATCAACGGTCGGGACTTCAGGTGCGCGTGCGCTTCCGGCGAGCTCGACGCGAACGGTCGAAGCTGCTCGAGCGTCAAGCAGTACATCGTTTTCGCGACCCGCAAGGAGATCCGCTCGATGTTCCTCGACCCAATGAAGACCGCCGTGCCCTTCCCACCGAGAGCGAACTTTACGAACCTGGTCGGAATGGACTTCGATTACGCCGGTCACCGGATGTACTTTACGAAAATCCGTCCCGACGGCGCCATCCTCTGGATGGACTCCGACGGCCAGAACCAGGAGGTCCACGTGATCCTGAACAAGACCGTGAACCCCGAGGGCATAGCGTTCGATTGGACTCACAAGAAGATCTATTTCGCCGACTCGGCGAACCGGAGCATCTACGCCATGAACACCGACGGCTCAGACATCGTGATGATTGCCAACGTGGAGCGGCCTAGGGCCATAGTCCTGGATCCTTGCGAGGGCTTCATGTACTACACCGATTGGGGTCGATACGGACACACGGGCAAGATCTATCGATCTACGATGGCCGGCAACAACAAAACCGCGATCGTATCCGGGAACCTGACGCAGCCGAGCGGTCTCGCCGTAGACTACGAAGACCGCAAACTCTACTGGACCGACGCGCTCCGGGAGAAAATCGAACGATCGAATCTCGACGGCACCGACCGCGAGGAACTCATCTCGGCCACCATCTATCCGTTCGCGATAACGGTTTTCGGACCGTATATCTACTGGACCGATTTGCAGCTGCGGGGCGTGTACCGCGCCGAGAAGCATACCGGGGCAGGGATGATCGAGATCGCCAAACGACTCGAGGAATCCCCTCGTGACATCCACATCTTCGCCCCTGAGCGACAAAAGTGTAACAAGACCGTGTGCGAGATCAACAACGGAGGCTGTGCGCAGTCCTGTCATCCAGGACCGAACGGACCCGAATGTCGATGCACCGGCAATCTCAAAATCGCCAACGAGGGGAAGATGTGCGTGCCCGAGAACGTGACATGCGACTCGACCAAGTTCGCTTGCAAAAACGGAAAGTGCATCGATCGAAGATACGCCTGCGATTCGGACGATGACTGCGGCGACCAGTCCGACGAGGACCCCGCCTACTGCACGGTGCACACGTGCAGCCCCAGCGAGTTCAGATGCGGCAACGGAAAATGTCTTCAGCTCAAATGGAAATGCGATCACGAAAACGACTGCGGGGACAACAGCGACGAAATCGATTGTAAATACCCACCGTGCGCCGACGGCGAGTTCACCTGCGCCAACTTCAAATGCATTCCGAAAAATCAAATGTGCGACGGTCGTGACGACTGCAAGGACGGTAAGGCCACCGACGAGTCGCACGATCACTGTCCGAAGAACCGAACCTGCCCAGGACAACAGGTCAAATGCGCCACGACGAACATCTGCGCGGAACCGTTCTGGCTGTGCGATGGCGACAACGACTGCGGAGACAACTCCGACGAGGTCTCTACCCTTTGCTCGCAACGCACTTGTCCCCCGAACAGTTTCAGGTGTCCGAACCACAGGTGAGGACCGCTCGATCGAATAATTATTATCGATTCACTCGCCTGATACACGAAAAAAAATCAGATCATTGCTAGGGCCGACGCCGAATTTCCTCTCCCGTTTTCTTTTTCATTTCCTGAGTCCGGGATGATAATCATCAATTATTCTTGTTCGGGAAATCTCGCGGAATGAAATAGATAGCTTCTGTACAAAAATTATAGGACGTCCCCTGACGAGGGAATTTAGAAAAATCAATGGAGAGCTATTAATAACGAATTTCGGCTTGCAGGTGCATTCCCGCCAACTGGCACTGCGACGGCGACGACGATTGTGGGGACGCGGCTGATGAGCCTGCCGATTACTGCAAATCCGAGAAACGAACCTGTTTCGGTGACCTCTTCACCTGCGACAACGGAAATTGTATCCCGCGCACGTACCTCTGCGATGACGACAATGATTGTCTCGACAACTCGGACGAGGACGCTCGTCACCAGTGCAATTCCAGGGAGTGCGATCCCGAGAAAGAATTCACCTGCAAGAAGAACAAAATGTGGAATCGACCGACCTGCATCCCGAAACGGTGGCTCTGCGATGGCGATCCCGACTGCGTTGACGCCGCCGACGAAGATAGCAAAACGCTCAACTGTCCCACGCCTGAGCCTTGCAAGGAAAAGCAGTTCCGCTGCGCGAACGGTCGGTGCATAAACCAGGACTGGTACTGTGATCACGACAACGACTGCAGCGACGGTTCCGACGAGCCGAAGAACTGCACATTCCGCGAGTGTACTTCAGACGAATTCGCCTGTCGCAACGCCAAATGCGTGCGCAAGAACTACATGTGCGACGGTGAAGACGATTGCGGTGACGGGTCCGATGAGCTCCAAGCCAGTGAGTAACTCCATGAGATTATTATAGAGAGAGAGACCGAATTTTAGAGCTTGACGTTCAGGACTTTCGTCGAGAGATCCACTGCGTATTCGAATGATCCATCCAACGTTCTCCGCAATAGACTGTCCAAGCAATAAGCATTGTATTCCCCAAATGTTATTATTTCCTTTATTTTTACCACCGAATTTTTCGCAATAAATTGCAACTTTTCCCCCAGATTGCAAACGGAACAGCACTTGCGACGAGGCGACCCATCACAAATGCCGTCTGGACGACCGCTGCATTCCGTTGACGAAGGTCTGCGACAAGAACCGAGACTGTTCCGATGGATCGGATGAATCTCCAAGGTGCAATATCAACGAGTGTGCAACCCCCGAAAGCAACGGCTGCGAGCACAAATGCGTCGATACGCCGCTATCCTATCGATGCGAGTGCAATCCCGGCTACAAGTTGATGCCCGACGGCAAGGCCTGCATCGACGTCGACGAATGCACGGAAATGCTGAGCGTGTGCTCGCAGATCTGCGTCAACACGCCCGGTTCGTTCTTCTGCAAATGCAATGAGACCCACTATCTGCGAGAACCCGACGGGAAGACTTGCAAACGCCTCGAAACCTACCCCGAGCCGTGGATAGTTTTCTCCAACCGTTACTATTTGCGGAACGCCTCGATCGATGGAACGAAGTACAACCTCGTCAAGATGGACTTGAAGAACGTCGTTGCGATCGACTTCGACGTCAAGGAAGATCGACTGTACTACGCAGATGTCGGTAACCGAACGATCCACCGAATGTACACGAACGGTAGCGGCGAAGAAGTCGTTATCAAGTACGACGTGCAAGGTCTCGAAGGAATGGCCGTGGACTGGGTTTCTCGAAAGCTCTATTGGCTTGACAGAACGAGTAAACAGCTGTTCGTCTCGCATCTGAACGGCACGTCGAAGAAGGTGCTGCTGCCACGCGGCATTTCCGATCCGAGAGCACTTGCGGTCCACCCGGGTATCGGTTATCTGTTCTTCACCGATTGGGGTCACCACGCGTTCATCGGTCGACTCGGCATGGACGGGAGCAACATGACGCTGCTAATCACCTACCGGAAGAATCTCGTGTGGCCAAACGCTCTCACGATCGACTACTTCTCGGACAAGATCTTCTGGGCCGATGCCCATCTCGACTACATCGAGTACGCCGATTTCGAGGGCAAGAACCGACACACGGTCTTGTCCGGATCGAAAGTCCCGCACGTGTTCGCCCTGTCGGTGTTCGACGATTGGCTGTTCTGGACCGACTGGAACATGAAAGGAATCTACCGAGCCCACAAGTTCACCGGAGAGGACCTCCTGCTGCTCCGGAACGCCTCGCATCGACCCTACGACATCCACGTGTACCATCCGCTCCGGCAACTGCCCTACAACAATCCCTGCGAAGTCGACAATGGCGGCTGTTCGCATCTCTGCCTTCTGTCGCCGAACCCGGCGGGGCTCAAGTTCCCCGCGGAACACCGATGCGCCTGTCCGGAGGACTTCGTTCTACTACCGAACAACAGAACCTGCATCGCCAACTGCACCGAAGGACAGAAGAGGTGCTCGGGAGGAGGCGACGAGAAATGCATTCCCATCTACTGGATGTGCGACGGGGAACAGGACTGCGCCGATGCGTCCGACGAACAGAACTGTCCTCCGTACAAGTGCAAGAGAGGCCAATTCCAATGCCCGACCAGCAGCGATGTCTGCGTTTCCAGGATCAAAGTATGCGACGGTCACAACGATTGTCCGGACGGTTACGATGAGAGGAATTGTCATCTGCCCTGCGGAGAGAACAGCTTCAAATGCAACAGCACCGGCCGATGCGTTCCGTCCTCGTGGCAGTGCGACGGGGACAACGACTGCGCCGACGGCTCCGATGAGAGTCCGGCGCTCTGCCATCACGGAAATTGCGATCCGGAAACTCATTTCAAATGTAAGTACCGTACGAAATAAGATGTTCTCGTTGTTTTTCCTGCCGAATTCTTCACCAGTTCAGAATTTCGACCCCGGACCTCAAATGAGGGGGAGGGGTGAGGGGTTAGGGGAAGCGGAAGAAATCGAAGGCTGAGTACGAATAACTTGTTCCACAGGTGAGAACGGCAAATGCATTCCACACCTTTGGTTCTGTGATTTCGACGACGATTGCGGAGATAACTCGGACGAGCCAGCGTACCAATGCCGAAACCGGAACTGCACAACCGGTTGGCAGAAGTGTCCGTCGAAGTCTAATTACCGTTGCATTCCGCAATGGCTCTTCTGTGACGGGAGAGACGACTGCAGGTCAGTGAGGCTTCATGCAGCTGCCGATCCTCGAAGAGGTGGTTGCTCGAGATTTCATGACGGGGGAAATAGAGGGAAAAACCCCCCGACCTTGAGTCGACAGCAGTTTCCCCCCTCTGAGCCCTAATATTTTTGCTCACTTCGCAGGGATAACTCCGACGAGACGAATCCGGATCAATGCCCCAAATGCCACCCGACCGGCGACTTCAAATGCAGTAATGGTCGCTGTATCCCGATGCGATGGCGATGCGATTTCGAAGACGATTGCGGCGACAACAGCGACGAAGACTCGACCATGTGCGAGAACCTCTACCGAGACTGCTCCGAGTCCGAATTCCAATGCGAGAACAAGCGATGCATTCCTCGAAAGTGGCGTTGCGATCACGACGCGGACTGCGACGACGGATCGGACGAGAAAAATTGCGCCAACCACAAGTGCCGAGCCGATCAGTTCCAATGCGACAGCGGACACTGCATTCAGAAGAAAATGGTTTGCGATGGGAACAAGGACTGCCGAGACGTTTCGGACGAGAAGAACTGCCCGCCCCGCTTCCCCAACGGGCGACACTGTCCCGAAAACCAATTCCAGTGCAACAACACGGTGTGCATCAAGCCGGACTACGTATGCGACCGGGACGACGACTGCGGAGATAACTCCGACGAGTCCGACCAGACGTGTCGGCAGCACGAATGCGATGTTACTCGGAAGTTCCAGTGCGCGAACCGGAAATGCATTATGCTCTGGCAGCTGTGCGACGGCGAAGATAATTGCGGTGACGGCAGCGACGAGAATACATTCCATCTCTGTGATCGAATCAAAGGACCGCTGACCTGCTCGGCGGACATGTTCAAGTGTGCCGACGGTAGGCAATGTATCGATAAAAACAAAGTCTGCGATCACAACCTCGATTGCGACGACGAGTCAGATGAGCTCGGCTGCCGTGAGTATTCGAGAGCGACTCCTTGATTCCGTAATGAACTCCATTCTGACGGTGTTCCAGAGTTCGATTGTTTCATAATTTGAATAATCATTATAATAATGATTTCACTCTCATGATCGCAGAGATCGGCGAGTGTAGCCCTCCACTGAACGGTGGTTGCCAGCACAACTGCACGAGCCTCGGTGCCAGCTCGGCCCACGACTACGTGTGCGTGTGCCCGTCAGGATACAGGATCAACGCAACGAACACGAAGACCTGCGCCGATATCGATGAATGCGCTAGCTCGTTGCATTACTGCGCGCATATCTGTCACAATACCGTTGGAAGCTACGGATGCGAATGTCGTCCAGGGTGAGTTTCTCGATACGCGGGATCGGAAAAAGATAAAATATGAAACTGGTTTAGCTAAAAAGAAAAGAGAAAATAATGATAGAGAAAAACGAAGACGAATCCCAAAGATGAGATTGGACTAGAGCGATCCTGACTCATTGGCTTTCGTTTTCAGATTCAAACGAGTCAACATGGATTGTCATCCACCCGGAGATCCACCCGTAATTATGTACACGAATGGTCGTGAAGTTCGTCTAGTCATTTCTTCTCCCGAAACCAGTAAGCAGGTCGCTTTGATTTCGGGAGAGAGCAATATCTTCGGTGTGGATTTCGACCCTGTCCAGAAGTTTGTTTACTGGGTCGACGTGGACGCCAAGACCATCAAGAGGGCGTTCATCCCAGACCTCTCGGTCGAGCCCGAGAAACTCGGCAGTCAATACCCGCAGGATCTCGAAATCAGCGGTGAGTGACTCTGAGTCTCAGTGGGGAGGGGGGGGAGGGGAAGATTCCTTGATATTTCTGAAAATGACGGACAGGGATCGGCAATAAATGATCATGGGTCTCCGCGAGTCATTCAAGATATCGTTCTCTTCCCACAGATCTGAAAATTCCGACGGCGCTCGCCGTGGACTGGCTCGGTCGAAACCTCTATATCCTCGACTTCCAAACTTTCACGGACCGGCCACCGAAAGGAAGACTTCTCGTCACGAAACTCGACGGAAGGTACAGGCGCACGCTGCACGATACGGACATCGAGATGCCGACATCCGTCGCCGTGGATCCCGAGGCGGGAGTCCTCTTCTGGTCGGACGCGGGCAAAAATCCCAAGATCGAAACATCCTGGCTCGATGGAAGTCGTCGCCAAACTATCCTTAGCTCGAAGAACAGGGTCATCTCACCTGGGGGTCTCGTGATCGATTACGTTTCCGGGGACAGGAGACTGTATTGGGTGGATCCGAAACTCAGCACCATTGAGAGCGCCCGACCCGACGGAAGCGGCCGACTAGTCATTAAGAACCGTGAGTTTTTTCCTTTGGATTTGCTCTCGTTTCCGTCGTCGCCATCCCGCAATCTCCAGCTCAAGATTCATTCCGTCGATTGCGTTTTGACGAATTCGAGCGAGCAATACGAAGGCCTTTGACTCGTGATTTCAGAAACGGTTCATCCGATCGCTTTGGATCTCTTCGGCGATACGATGTACTGGAGCGAACGGGACTCTGGGAACATTTACCGAATGAACAAATTCGGCCGTGGGGTCAAGGTGCTGATTCGTAGAGACATCAAGTACCCTGCCAGCGTGAAGATCTACCAGGAGACAAAGTACAACACGACGGGCGAGAGCCGATGTGCTCACTCGGGCTGCAGTCACTCGTGTCTCTTGATCCCTCGCGGTCATCGGTGTTCGTGTCCCGACGGCGCCAACAACAAGAACTACAATCAGAAATGCGACGCTGCGTTCGAACAGCCGAAAGCCATTCCTTTCAAGTGAGTATCGTTCGAGACTTGAATCCTAGATTTTCCCCAATGAATTTGTACGGGGACCCGCCCGCGAAGTGGATTCGTGATTCGTGACTCCATTCCGAATCCGACCCCCGGAACGAAATCATGAAAATCAACGAAATCCTCGTTTCCCACAGATGTCCGTGCCAGAACGCGGGAATTTGCGTCGCAGTGCAAGGAGACCGTGCTGTGTGCAAGTGTTCAGAGGACTTCGAAGGAGCAAACTGCGAGAACTTCGTTGCGAAAACCAGGATCGCCAGCTCGAATAACAGTAAGTTTCCCAAAGCAGAGGGGGACCCGGAGGCTCTTTATCTAGGGAAAGAACGAAAGACAAGCTTCTGCAGATTTTATTTCATAGTGTGCGGTGGTTCTGGGAGCGACTCGGTTCCGCAAAAGGTCACAAGCCACGGAACTCTGAGAACGATGCCCACTTTGTAGTGATCTAGCTTCATGCACACGTGGAGCGAACTCTACGCATCTGTTAGGAACATCAACGCTTGAACATCCATGACATTGGTGCCGGTGTGGCCGGTCTTCAGGATCGCGTAAAACTCCTCCGCGGTTGGCTTCAAGTCGGGCGGATGGAAAAACGTATAGCTGTCGTTGTTGTTCAGGTATTCGAGAGGATCGAATCCCTTCTGTCGCTTGAACTTGACGTATGTCTGATCCACGATCGCGCCCGCAACGTCAGTGGGACCGTCAATGCCATCGGTGCCGCCCGAAAGAAAAACGACATCCTTCTGTTGCTCTTCCAGAGCCATACCCGCTGCCAGAGCCATCTCCAGATTCCGGCCGCCTTTTCCCTCACCTAGAAAAAAAATTAAGAACCGGGTATTTAGATGGGACTTCAAAAACTCGCTCCATCCTTTCGGAGGAGTCTCCTCCGAGAAGAGGAATACAGGCTTTCTCGTTCAGGGTGGAGATCCCTTCACTGGACTCACCGGTGACCGTGACGGTGGTTTCTCCCCCGAACAGGACGCAAATCGGCGTATCCTTCGGCAGGCTTCTCAGTTCCTCCTCAACAGCGGCACTCAAGCCCAGACCTGAGCAGTCGCCGTCCACGATCTTGACGATTTTTTTCGCGACTTCGCGAGCTTCGCCAGTCAGGCGGTCTGTCGCGACAATCGTGTGGAAACCGTACGACTTTGCGCTGAGTTTCGCGGCATCCAACGCCACCCTATTCGATCCGATCAGATGGTTCGAGAACGAAGAACAGACCCGGTCATCGGGCTCCGTCTCGATCACTCCGCGGAGGGTTTCCGAGATTTTGAAATCGTACTTCTCCAAAACTTCAATCGCATCCGTGCTCGATATTCTCGACTCGACGGTGGGTCCGCTCGCGATGAGATCGAGAGGGTCCCCCACGATGTCGGACAGGATCAATGAAATCACCTGAGCCTTCGTGTGCTTCAGGAGCTTGCCTCCCTTCAGAGCAGAGAGGCGTATGCGGACCTTGTTGAGTTCCTGGATCGTTGCTCCGGCTTTCGAGAGATGTTGTATGATCTGGCGTTTTTCCGAGAGCGTGAGCGGCGGCTTCGGCATCGGACAAAGCGCTGAGCCTCCGCCGGAAATCAACACGAAAAGAATGTCATTCTCAGATAGACCTTTGATGAGCTTGACGATTTTCCCGGAGGCTTCCAGACTGTTCTCATCGGGTATGTTGCCGGCGGCCCCCTCGATCACCTCGATGGGGTGTTCGGGTAGCCATCTTCTCTTCTCGAGTTTTTCGGAGAACTCCGTGAAGCCACTCGGAACGCTGATCACCCCTTTTTCCACGTGAGGTCTGAAGAGCTCTTGCAGCTGAGCTGCCATTGGCGCCACGGCCTTGCCGAAGCCACAGATGTAGATGTTGTGCTTCACTCGGTAAACTGGCCCCTCGAAAGAGCCCACTTTGAAGCCGAGCTCTTTGTCGACGATCCGCACATTTTTCCGGACAAGAACTTTCGGATCAACCGAGCGGACCGCCGCTCGAAAAATGATCCTGATGTACTTGTGGAAGTACGCGAGCTTCGGCAATTCCATTATCGCCTAAAGAGTTCTCGCATGAGTATCAGAACATGCGACGAAGGGGAGAAAACCGCCAGGGGATTCGGATTTGATTTGAGTCTCGATGTTGTTCCGTGATCTCAACTATTTGAGGGCGGAATCGCTTTTCCGACCGAAATTCGAGGAATCGGAAGGAACCGCGCATGCGTTGTCAGAGACGGAGAAGATGATCGACACCACGTCGAGCTGGATGTTCGCGGAAGTTCGAGCTGGATTCAACTCGAGACTGCGAAGTCGTCGGTCGGCGTCTCCTTCGTACCTCTCTGTATGGCAGGACGCGACACGATGAATTCACATTAGGTCGAACTCACAGTATACGGGCTTAGAAGAACGATCGCGGGCACATGGCGGAATCCATGTCTAGATGAACGCATTCCAAGCGATGCCGTTCCGCGCGCGCACGCAGCGCCCAGGGGAAATTTCTTCTCATTCCTGAAGCCAGCCTACCAGTGACACTTATGTTCTGAATAAATTCGGCCGGATTTTCGACTCGGTATGATTACGGCGTTCCTCGGGTACGCATCCGCAGAGCCGAGGTGTTCACCAGATGCTCCGATCTCGGGGGTCGAGGGTAGCCCTGTACTTGTCATGACCGCGGAGCGGGACCAATTCCGAAAATCGGAGGATGAAGCGAGAGAATCCCAACAGGAGGGAAATGGATTCGATTTCTAATGACTCGATCTCTCTATTGCAGATATCGCAGCAATAATGACTCCTATCATCATCGTTCTGATCTTGATGATTGGCGGCGCGGCGCTGTTCGTCGCCTTCCGGAAGAAGCAGTTGTGAGTATATAGACGGCATTTTCGATCGACGTACCTGATTCTAAATTCATTCGCGGGGTCGCATTCCATGACTAACGGAGTATCGATGATTTTCCAGTAAAACCGCGGGTTACGGAGGGAACCCCAGCGTCTCTTTCGGAGGTGGAGGCGTGGACTTTTCGTCGCACTTCATGAGATCTGCTCGTTCTAACGAGCCCAACGGGGTAAGGATGCCTGGAGGAGACGATAATCAGTGTCGAGTGAAAATGCAGAAAGTCGAAATTTAATAATCGCTGAGCAGCATTTCACCCTCATAACGTTAATTTCCACTTCCGCTCGTTCAACAGGATCCCATCGACGGCGGCGACTTCAACCTCGGAGATGTCAAGCAACCGACGGATTTCGCCAACCCCATGTACGACGCCCTGGGTACGGTTCCTGGCGACGGCAAGCCCTTGGTCGAGGAAGCGTCCGGCTCCGCCATTTTGACACCTTCCTCAATTCTTCAGAAGAGCAGTCCACAGCTGAAGTTCAAGAAAAAATCACTAAATCCGACGTCAAAGGACACCGACAAGGACACAGCTATGCTGGTCGAGGAAGACGCCTCCGAGGCATAGTTCTAGCTCATCTCCAGATGCAATTCCGCGATGCAATAACAATTTCTTGATACCGATGGAGACATTCCAGAAAATTCCAATTGCTCGGTCTATGTACATAAAGTGCGAGAAAGAAAACGCATTAGTCGTTGACGAGTGAACGACCGACCGACCAACCAACCGACCGACCCAAACTCAACGCAGAAGACGGAAGCCGTTCAGAGACACAGAGAGCGGTCTTTCGGGGCAGCGGCGGTTTCGAAGACACGAAAAGACATAGGAAGAGATGAGAACGGAATCGTTTAAATCGATACTAGAAGAAGAGCAAGCAATGAGAAGTTCACCTGTTTTTCCTCCGATTGCTGAAACCCCATTCCTGGGGAGGGGGGACATCGATCTGACACCGTGCGGAGCGTGAAGGAAGGAGCGAGAATATTTAAAGCCCGCCGGACTAAGTTATGGAGACATTAGATACGCGAGCCTTAAATGCGCGAACGCAAATGCAATGCCGCAAGAATCGAGATCAATCTCAACTTTGTTGAGGTCACGTGCCGGCAGATGTCTTTTTCCATATCAAGTCACGAAGATGAAATTTATAATGGATGCCGTCTTCAGCGGCGATTCTCAGAAGGCTCGGAACGGAAGGATATGATTGGAACGTGACGACAAATTTTAACAATTATCATAGTTATTATTCTAATCGATAACCTTTTTCGAAAGAGATTGCGCGGAGGTCTTAGGCTTTCTCTCGACGGAATCGCCAGAGTATTGATAGTTTTCTCCTCGAATCTAGTGCGTAGTTTTCATCGAATGTTGGAATGGAAGCGATACAGGCTTCGAAAAGGAGAGAAAACGATTGACGACGAACGTAGAGGCAGAAATACGAAACGATGATTATTACTTGAGGACATGAGCGAATTGTTCGTGGTTGATGATTCCTCTGTGTTTTCTGAAAACTCAACAAGGTTCTACTCGATGAGAGGACAACGAAATACGAGAACAAGATTTTGTACAGAAGAACTATAGAAGAGAATCCTAGAGCGCGGGTCCCTGAAACAATCCGAGGATTCCCGTGGGATGGGACTACTGTGATTGAACGCTCCACTCGATCATCTGAACGACCTCAATATTTTTGAAAGATTATAGCAGAGGACGAAACACACACAAACGACGGAGGTAGGCGGTTGCCGGAGAACCGTTCGGCGAGCGAACGGAAGCTCAGGCATCGAATCGGAGACGATTAAAGAGAATGATTTGTGTAAATGATATATTCGCGTTTTTTTTTCCGCCATACGCCGAAGATCGGACGGGCTAAGAACTCCGAGCCGCATCTCCGGTTACTGGAACGTTCTATCCGGGCAGAGCCTCTCGATAGACTCTTCCGCGGAGCCATCATCACTCGACATCGGCTGGCAGCTGTCAGCGGACTCGGTCCTAATCCAAGCGATTTATCCCCGTCAAAATTGATCAGAGACGCGCTCAGGCGTGCCTTGCAGTCGGTCTGGTCGGGAAGCGAGCCGACGAATGAACCGTTCCTGACACTCCTGACTTCTGACCTCGCGAGGAAGCCACCGAAGTCCCTGAAGCCCTCCGCAAGCGGGTGCAACAGCTCCACCCGTCGGAACTAGTCAGGCGTAAAACTAGCCAAAACGAGAGAGCAGTCTATTCGCCGAAGAGCGGTCCCTGAGCTCAAGCCGATGATTCGACATGAGTACCTACATACGAATTTCTCTTTCCGCTGTGGCTGGCTGTACGGGGCTCTCATCGATGATCGATAAATCGTGAATACACATATTTCTTTGCTCTTAGGCGCAGAAGATGGAGATCTCCAAGAAATTGGAGCGCAGGAAGTTTTTTTTCGAGTGTCTTTTGGAATCATACTCAGAATCGACCGACGACATCCTCGAATGATGAAAATGACTATCAATTTTCGAATACGATTTCCCCTTCCGCCTTTGATGGAAAAATGGAACTTCCATCGTCGCCGTAGCCGATCGCGAGCCTTCCGCGCAAAATCACAAGATTGGGAGGAGGCTCGATTTCCTGAAACTTCCTGGATCTCCCGTTCTCTCGAGCCACCCGTAGCCGTTGTCTGTCATTTAAGTTTTAGCGAGCGCTTAGTGAGCAAGGAAGGCTTGCCTCCTGGGATCCGCCGGTCGCTCGGCTTGCCTGGCCGACTGACTGACTGAGTCTGATCGGGCTATGAGGGCTATCGCTTCGACTAAGCGAACAGAGCAGCCAGCGAATGGAGAGTTTGCCGGTGGTGGTTGTGGAGTTGAGGCAAGGAGAGAAGCCAGTCAATGAAGCTAGCTGTAAACGAGTGAGCTGATGCTCTCCTTCATTGAGCGAGTCCCTCAGGAGGCGGGCGTCGAGAAATTCTTTAAAGTTAGCAAACTTCTCAGTTCCTAGAGTCGGGTTATTTGTCTCCATTAAATTTGTCTTGATTAACTAAGAAAAAGGAGTTCGCCGCTAGTATCAGGAGAAAATGTCACTGGAAAGAGTGACTTCATCGTTCGAAAGGCGGAAAAACGCCGTTCGTGGGGGATCGACCCTTCCGGCACCAACTGTCCGACTTGGCTCGAATCGTCCTGACCTCTCCGGAACAGTCTGACTGTCACTTAAGGCCGAACCCGCTCAGAGGGAGTAAATCAGCGATGTCCATTTCGAGAGTCGTTTATTATCAATGGGAGACCTAAGGCATTCTCCTGACGGAAATACTATCAGCGCTTTTGGGATGATCTTCCTTATTATGGACCGCCTGACAAGCTCACCAGGGAACTCTTAGGCAGGTCACTTTGGAAATTCCTCTCTTTCTCGCCTGATATTGCAGGGACTAATTGTACGCTTTTCGTTGCTGTAGGCTCCTCTTTCGAGTTTCCAATGGCGACGTCCGAGATTTGCCGAGTTCCACCAAGGAGAATGTAGAAAGGTTTCACGACGGCAACGATTCCATTAGGAGTCCAATCGAATAAATCAGGCGTTCTGGAGGAGCCGCTTCGTTTTACGGTAAACCCACAAAGCCTCTCTCCGGCGAGTAAGCAGCCTTGCGCGGAAATCATAGTAGCCCGTTGGCAGCAATTCCCTGAGCGGGGACTTTCGAGTCGGTAGTCCTCCTCCATTCCCAGGCTTGCTTTCGATTTACGCGAATTCGAAAAGGATCTCGAGTAGTATAGGCTGAGCCGATAGATAGACCGACCGACCGAAGACCGCAGAGTTTCTCTTAGCGCACTCGGAGCCCGGGAACTCGTCGCTGTCCGAGGACGTCGGGACGATTTTTGTAAAGTCATTAACTATAGGCTCGTTACGACGAGACCGAGGGATAAACAGCGATCAGACGGCACAGCAGAGCAAGGCTCAATCAATCACGACTTTCAATTAGTTAGAGGGAATCGCTGTACTTTTTGTCCCAGAAACTCTCCTGCCCGCTCCGCGACGGCAAACTTTTCGGGTCGAGGATCGACTGTCAATTTCCGGTAGGAATTTCCGAGCAGCACTTTCGAACTCCTCGTAGTTTTGAAATCTTGCCTCTTCTTCCTAGGAGCGCGGGCTCTATCGATAAGGAGAAAAAAGTAACTAAGGGTTTCGGCAGAGCAGGAGCTTCCCGTCTTTCCTGCAAGCGTCACCTTCGAGCATAGATACCGACGTCCGCATTACCGCATCAAATCTTGAGGTGCTCGTTGGGCTTCTCTATTTTCTCATGCTCCGGCTTGGTCGGGTACCGGGCCCCGACCGTGTCACGGTGACCGTCTGGTGAGATCTCGGTCTTCAACCACACGTAAGCAGTCTCATCGGGACTCGCTTCGGATTAAATCGCAAACAAGAGTTTCGAAGACAAAATGCAGTTCGAGAGCACTTAGAGCCAAATTGGACGCGGATCGTGTGACTGGAGCGGCGGAGTCAGACAAACGAAGCGAGCGACCGACGACCAGCTCACAAAACATCCTGCCTCCCGGCCGGCCAGACGTCCTGCTAGGACACAACATTGAAACGTACTTTAAAGAGATGTGGGCGACTGTTTGATTTCAAGTGCTCCGCTCGACTAGCTGCTTGTTCGGCGGGCGACGGGGCGAGCGACGGACGAGTCTTATTGGACATCGGATCGACACGAAAGGTATTCTCGGGGTCAGACGTCCACGCGACTTATTGAACCGTGTGCTGGAACAGCCTTAACCTGAACAGCTCCGACATCCTGCGGACAGACATCCATCGGTGGGACCAAAACCCCAACCAAAGCAAACAAGAGCGTAAAAGTCGTGGAGAGATGAGCCGACGTAATGATTTTTCCTGGACTCGTACGTTGAAGTTACCGTCACCAGAATCCAGTTCGGATACGGAAAGTATCTCGGATACAGAAAAGACGCCTAAAGGGAATCGTAGGTCTCTTCGATTCGATTGATGGCGGGTCAGATCGATTCCCCCCTGCCCAATTCTGGATTCCTCATTCTAGCGGAGTATTTTCCATGGAAATTAACGAGGATCTAACGTCCAACCCCGTCTTTCACTTCCGGTTCTCTCTTCCGTTTTGATCTCACCGAGGCGGGTCTGATCAATATTGTCGACGTCTCGCCCTTTTCAAGCGTTACGCATTGAGATTCGAGAGTGATATGAGTTTGATTGGTCGCAGTCGCACCGCTTTCAAGAACAAATCCTCCGATGCGAAGTCATCCTACCTGCTTGTGGCCACTCGCTCGTTGTGACCGCTGAATGATCATGCCAATTTTATGCAGTGTTTATTCCCAGGAAAAACAAACACAGTAAGCTTACTCGATATATCTCCCTTTGTGTCCTCACTCGAATGCCACCTGCACCGTGGATAGTCTCTCCGATGGCTCGGGTCGCTCGGTCTGATGTCTGTCGGTTGTCTTCTCGGCGAGCCACTAGCGGAGCGATTGCAAGGCGCTGACTCGAGTAATGGACCGAGTCGAATGTCTTTACGAGGTCGGAATGGCTTTGAGCCGCTGCCCATGGGATTGCCGATTTTCTATGGAGCCGTAGATCGGGATGCGGATACCCTTCGATAATCGGGTGTCTGTCCTTCTGACGAGTCGAAGAGACTTTACTCGAACGTGGCTGTCTGTACTGTGTACTGTGTTCGGAATCCACGGAAAAAGAGAATTCGTGTCTTAGAGAACACGAACGCTGAGTTTTTCCGGTGATCGACCAAGACTGATCGACTGAGGCTGTCAGCGAGCGAACATGTGGATGGTCCTCATCGAGCTCTGAGATACATCACGAGAGCGTGGAGCATGCCATGCGCCGGGTTGAGGAATTTGCACCAAATCTATTTCTGATTCATTCCATTGGATATTCATTCCTTCCCTGATTCATCGAGACGAGTACACAACTCATCGGATCTTCAGGATATGATTACGGTGAGCGGGATGTACGGGCTCCCTGATCATGCTGACCCCCAGTTTCGCCATTCGCGCGGTTCCAGTTTGTGGTCGCCGTCGTACGAAATCTGTCAGTTGGTTCACATGAGGTAAGGTGAAACCTTGCCCCGCACGCAATGCTTTCCATTCCGCTCCTCCGCTCAGCGGTGCCCTTTCTTTTTTTTTATTTAAAAACTTTCCGTTTTGCCCATGACAATGCTCGCGGAACCTTCAGTGCATCCGGATCGTGGGAATTCAGTGACTGTGTTTACATTAGAGCTCCGATTTGTTCCCGCAAAACGTTCGTACACGAGCCGTGTTTTTTCCCTCTGATGGGTGATATCCAGCGAGCTTCCCTGAATTCGTGCGAAGGATATTTTACCGATCTTGATCTCATGGATTCTTCCCTCGGTAGGATAGCATGGCCGATGCGTCCCCTCTATTCAATGGAATATGGAAATCCATCGATTCGACAGGTTTCGAGGATTTTCTACAAGCAATCGACATAGGCGTGACCTGGAGGGTCCTGGCTTCGGGATCGAATCCGTCGATTGAGATTTCTGTTGACGGCAAGGAGTGGACGATAAAAACGCATACTCTGCTGCGGACCCATGAGCTGTCATTCAGAGTTGATGAAGAATTCCTGGAAAAGCGGATCGACGGAGTTAGGGTGAGTTTCGATTTTTGTGATCTGATGATTTCTCCAAAGTTTCGTCAATATGCAATGTGAGAGGAGTGACGGTAGGTCTCGATAGAGAATCGGCATTAAAAATTTAAGAAAACCGCTCGAGGTTCCGATAAGCTGTTTCGAATGAAACAGAAAAATGATTTGCAAGCCGAGGGCAATTCGCGATATCTGCTCGGCTCCGAGCCGGTCATCCGGACGGGCTTTACCGTTCGTAAACTGGAATCCTTCCGATGGTTAACACGATAATTCGTCTCAATCAGGTAAAAACCATCTGTACCCTGGAAGATGGAAAGTTAGTTCAGACGTGTCGTGGCGACAAGACCATCGAGATAACCCGAGAACTTCTCGAGGATGGGGATCAATTGCTGACAACTTTTGCTTGGAAAGATATCAAAGCCACCAGATTGTACCGTAGGAGTAATAGAATAACGCGTTAGAATCAAGAATCTGTTCTGTGCGCTCGTCCGGGTTTGCGCTCCGGCAATAAAGTCGTCCGTTTTGAACCCTCGAATATTTTATATGCTTTGGAAATAAAACGGGTGAAATTCAGGTTTTCCCGTGGAGAGAACTTCCCTCATGGATGGAGCAGCAATCGGAATTCCGGCTTAGCTACGCAGTTTTTCCGCTCATATCTTCAAAAGCCGGGTCGATTTTCTCTCGGCGGCACTATACTTCAGCCAGCGTAGCAAATGTTGAGGATATTTGTGTTTTTAACACCATGAATGCTTCGGGATACAATGCTTCATCTGCATGATGATGGCGGCGGCATGCTGGCGGATGTTTCCACCGCTGCAGGCGAAAGCCATGAGAACTCCCGTCGACGGGCGTCGGACAGTCATGGTTCATGATCGTCTAGGGCTGAAGCCGCGACGAAATAAGGAAAGCACCGACACTGGATCGGACGGCATGAAGACACCACTTTCACCCGGGTCAGAGCTCAGATACACAAGTGCGGAACACATGTGTTCGAGTTCCGAGAGGCATTTCCGACTTCAAAGCGGGTCTCCCTTCCGGAGCTCTGGTCGATGCAGTGTATTGAGCCGCTGACTGGCTGGCTGGCTGAGCGAAAAGAATGATTCTCCGCGTGAGTGTGCGCTGCTAAGACGAGACCGACCGACACGTGCCGTGGAGCGACCGCCGATTCAAAGTGGGTTGTGTAAGTTGTTGCCGCAAACATTTGTGCACCAGACGTGGTCATTGTTTCAAACTCCATCAAAACGCGCCGAACAAGAAAATAAGTTGCTGCCACCGTTGGAGAACAATTATGAGCGAAAATCATCCGCTAGAGTGGGGAAGACGCGCGTTGCTCCTAGCAAGGGATACGAAGCCCTCGGATTTTCCTGGAAAAAAAAGCTTCAAACTGGTGCGCTCCGGGGTTGTACTTGGCTGACCTCTTTTTTTCATTTTTGGGATTCATTGAGTATTGATCCCCTATCTCGAAAAATTCTGCTCCTTGTGACGAGCCGCCGAGGTCCTTGATGGATCCTCTCGGAATAAAATGGAGAGTTCCTTTCTATCAGTAGCGGTGAGTTCGGGCAAGAGCTATCGACAGACGGACGGAGAGTGAGCGATTACTATACTAATATTCTCGAGACCTAGATGAGTGAAGACACTCGGCTGGGTCGCCATTTAACATCCGTTTCGAAATAGGTTTACGTTCAGGGGCGACGTTGGGGTCCGTCCGCAGCCAGATCTCGCCCCATAAAGAAAAGCATGTTCTGTGGGATTTCCGTATTTCCGCCCAGTTTGAAGGATATCGCTGATATCGACTTTCGAATCAGATCATTCGGTGCTGTGGCCTCAAATAAAAACATATTGGTAGAGAAAATTCCTCGCAGGGAAACTTCATGCTATACGCGGGATTCTGCTGGCTCCATATTATATTCTCTGGGGAGAATCGTCCCGCGATTTAGTAAGATGTAAAGGAGAATCGTGCCGCGCGATTTCCTTACACCCGTCTACACTGGCAATATAAAATACTTGATTGCTCGAGCCACCCGAGCATCGCCTGAAGCTGGTTTCAATCATGGCGGAGGCGGATCACTACGATAATGACGACAGGCGATGCTGATGCTTGGTCAGGAAGATTATGATGAAGATAAGCGTCGCAGGAACTTCCATTCACGGACGATTTCGGGTCGTGGTTTTGAGTTCTGCGCGGGATGGTGATTTGGGAAATAAAGAAGTGAAGAGGTAAGTACACGAATCTGTTCCAGTAATTATCTCCTTTAGCTGATGAATCTGCCGTCGAAAGTTCCACAACATTCTGGATGCAAAACGTTACAGGCCCAAGTAACGTGACGATGCGTGCTTGTCATCGAAGGCGCTATGGACGCGGGCGAGGCTACTACGACTGGAGATGGTACGGCACGAGAACCAGAATAAATGCTCCAGGAGTTGGCTAATATTTCAATTCCCCGTCCTGATTTCCTGCGCGCCTTTCGCAACCGAAACGATCCCGAGCTCAGAGCTCGACAGCTCGTACTGCCAGATCTCTCTTCAATTAGAGATCAAGTCGAACATCTATCTGAAATTATAATCGATAAGCTTTAGCTATCTTGTGAATAGGATACTCACATGAAGGATACGTTGTGATCCAGTTCATTCGAGACAATTAATTCATACCGGGCACGAAGTCTTAATCAAGGAAGATATGTACTGGCTCGCGCACGCGACCTGATTCACACGTGACACGCGAGCTTTCATCGCCTCGATACATTCCCTTGTGTCGTGGTATTGCTCCCCATCGATGTCGCCTCCTAGCCCGTGCCTCCTCGCTCCAATCCTCGTCTTCCTACACAGTGGAAACAATCCAATAATATGAACTCTTGTCCATCCGACTGCTTCGTGAGTTCGCACGCCGAGCGCTTCATGAACACTCGGAATGCCGGAATCTGGGTATGCCGAGGTGAGTAGCGGAATGCGACGAGCTCCCTCGACATCAAAAGATGAGCAAATTATCCTGATGATGGTCCGAAACACTGTATCTTGTCACGCCCACGCTTGTTTGAATCCGATCAATGAGATATGTATGAGTCCTGGTAATTTTACCCTCCTGGATCTCGATCCCCCGCCGCAACCTGCGACGGTTTTCCCGTTTCCTCAATGGGAGATGCAAGATGAGTGTTCCGCGCAGGATCGGCGACATGATCCATCCAAACATTGGAAACCGCTAAAAATACGGGAGATACGTCGGGATCATCCCAAAAAGGCGACGGTCGGAGTTTCCGCTGCTTGACATGCAGCCCCATTGAGACCAATGGGGAAAACAGGATAACATAAACACTCGGAAATCATCGGGAGGACTCAAGGAAGGTGTTAGGTCCGCTGTTCCGGGTGAGCCTTACAGAATGTCATTGGCGACCGATTCAATCCCGTCCTGCAAATCAGTCAGAGGGCAACGCAGGGGGTTGCGCCGATTCCCCCTCAAGTCCGAGCAGCTTCGAAGGTTTCTTATCGACCGAATCATCAGCTACGAATCCTGGAAATCGTTCCGGACAGTTTCTCTCCTGGAGCAGCTCGAGTAGATGCTTCAAAACTCCTGTCTCTCATCCTCAGAAAATTAATCTTCTCCCGAAGTGATTGAACGTGAGACTCTAAGGAGTGTGAAGGACAATAGAGAAACTCACGACGAGCGGGAGGAGGAGAGGACGTAGCTGGCTACTCGACGCTGTTTTGTGCTCTTTGACGGAGGGAGTCCCGGAAACTTTAGAAAGATCCGTGCTTGAGCTCTTTACGCGCACCGTCTTCAAAACCGAGTTCCTCAGCTGACGGAAATTTTCGCTGAACTCGAGATATCGCCGTAACTTCCAGGAACTCATGTTCCAACGACAGTCGGTGGGAAATTTTACTTCCTACGAATCACAGACTTCTGATGAACGTCTCCGAGCTTCCCTTTTCGAATGCAGAGCGCAGCTGGACTGAATGATCCGGGAGCCGGAGGATCAAAGAACCTTCGCAAGAATGACAGTGCCGTGTGTTGGCGCTGAGAACGCGTTTATCTTCGTTAGGTCGTGACGGGTTTTTAACTCTCGTGGCGGGCTCCTTGCCTGCCTGCCGCGTTCCCGCCAGATATCCTGTCTGCCAGCTCGCAGGGAAGGCTGGCAGGCGAGCGGGCAGGCAGGCAGACGGGGAAGGAAGCAAGAGAACGAAGTCAGTTGAGAGCAGGAGTAGAACGGAGAAGAAAGTGTTGAAAATGTGATCTTCCAATCTCGCTGGATCTGCTCGCTTACCAAACCCCCCGTTCATCGCCCACACCTCCACTCAACCCTATCGCGAGCTCCGGGGGACGACACGCTGCGGTTCGAGGCTCAGCGCGCCTCTCTCTATAGGTTCTGAATGAAAGAGTCGATACGGCATTGATATTCATGTTCTATTCGTGCCCCATCGACTCGAGAAACTCCAGAAATCGAGAAACAGGACCTGTGGCTCGATTTTCGGGCGTCTAAAAGGTTGATCATGCTTCTGCACACCAGATTGAGAAATTCTAATATGGAGTGTATAAACAGCGTCTGCCGTGCTCCCGTCCGACAGAATACTCGTGAGTTCGCAGTCTGGGACGCTGAACGTCGACTTCAAAGCGGCGCATACCCGCTTTGTCGCCGTTTCCCGGTAACTGCTCGCTGTCTCGTTCGAGTATTCGGCTCGTTGCTAAGCCATCCACCCCGATCGGCTCGCGGCCATGAAGCAGTCGCGCATTCTCCGTCGTTGTACCTTCAGCCCTCTTGAGTATCCTCCGATAGGAACTGCATTATTCGTGGGAGCAGAAGGGTGAGGGAATGATCCTGCGTCGATCCACGAAGGGCATTCCTCGGGAAGTGTGAGACCAAGTCTCTCGATATCGAGAACGAGCTCAGCAGAAAATATCTCCGCCTGCCGCCAATTGTACGAGTGGACGATCCATATTCTTGCCCGGGTGAACATATATAGGTACGAAGAATGAGAATGAAAAAAAAGAAGGCATAGCAAGACTCGCAGTCTTTTTCCACCTCGTCAAGCTCCGGGAGCTGCTTAACGGAGTTCGAAAGGGTGTGGCTTATGGAGTCCAATCCAGCAATCGTCCGTATATATAGAATATATCTGCTATCCCCTACTGATTGGTCTTCCTTTCCAGGCGTTTTATTTTCCGCAGGGTCACGGTCTGCATTGAAGTGTAAGACTCCGAAACTCTAACAAAAGTGATCCCGGCAGCCTAAGGACCGAGTGCCGCTCAAATTGTCCTTGTGACCATATTCCGTTTAGAGCATGACGTTGAAGTCGGAGTCTTCATCTGGACTCGGAATCAGGAATTACCGGAGGCGAAACGAGCCCTGATACAGGAACCTTATCCTGGCCGAGCGACTCCCACAAATTCGCGACATTCTAAACTATGTCCCGGGCGTCTCGGGCCGGAACCTCTTCAAGGAGCAATCATAGGTTGCTACATCGTATCCAGGGG